AATACATTAAATCCATGGTATAGTTTCAATGCAATGCTTTGAAGTAGGTAGAATCTGCTCATAATTGTCTAGCTAGCTATTATGCAGATGAAATAGTCACAGGCAGCCTACTGGTCTGGTTCATAGGATTTAAAGCAATGAGAAGATCAACCAGATCAACTGACATTCAAAAGACAGAAAACAGCTAGCCATTTACTTACATACTCTGTTCATACAGTGTTTGGCATGATTGCCTTTGTTCTGGGGAGGATAGGCTTCATGCTAGTAACTAGCTAGCTGGACAAGACAGGCTTCATGCTAGTAACTAGCTAGCTGGACAAGACAGGCTTCATGCTAGTAGCTAGCTAGCTGGACAAGACAGGCTTCATGCTAGTAGCTAGCTAGCTGGACAAGACAGGCTTCATGCTAGTAGCTAGCTAGCTGGACAAGACAAAGCAAACGAGTAACCAACTGGGATCTGCTAGCTAGCTAATATTAGTTTGATTGATCATAGCTAACGTTAGCTAGCTAGCTACATCCTCAATCGCTAACAGCTAATGTTTTAGCATTTAACTAGCTAGCTAGCGGCTAACAAGGAACTGCAAATACCTTAGTCTTCTCTTTTGATTGTGCTGCCTTCGATGACTTTTGACTGAAACGACTCAGCTACACGCAAAATCATCGTTCACGTTGCAACACCATGTCTTCTTAATCACTGTTAATAACCTGTATCTATTTATTTATTTCCATTATGAATTAATTTATCCTGCAGGCTAGCTAACTAGATAGCAACATGACATGTTGTCAAATGAAAAGTGCTGTGCTCATTGGCTGTTCCAGTATCATGTGACCACGCCCCGCTCCAGTAGTAGGATGCGTTCCAGGATGACTGCATTTCGGCGCTGCGGTCGCACTGATTTCCAACTAGACGGCTCGAATTTACTCTTCCTGACAATGTTTTTGCAATTGACTCGTTCACTTGAAAACATGGAGAGTGGTACTCGTAATGTGTTGTATTGGATTTCCCCCAAACATAACACCTGGCCCATTGAACTTCTCCCTGGAATAATCCAAAATGCACCTCAAACAGGAATATAATTTAAAAAAATAATAAACAAGTAGAATAGAACAGAACTTTACAACAAACTAGTAAATAGTAGGGTATCTCGTCAATTAAACTAACAATAATAATTGCCTTTACAATAAATACTTTTCAATCATTTCATTATCAGTGGACAATACATTTTACATTCGATAATATCAGGACATAATATAACACACAAATAAAATCATTTGGAAAATAAAACCAACACCACAATGGAACAGGCAAACAGCGACGTGTTGTAATCTAGCAGACCTAATTCATATCAAATCAAATCAAATGTATTTGCCACATGCACCGGATACAACAGGTGTAGACTTGCAATGCATTGAAATGTTTACTTACTAGTCCTTTCCCAACAATGCAGAGTTAAAAAGTAAGGACATAGTAATACAATAACATAACAATAACGAGGCCCTTGTTGAGATGTTCATACCCCTTGACTTCAATACCCCTTGATTTTGTTGTTACCGTCTGAATTCAAAATGGATTCAATAAATAAAAAAATCTCACCTATCTACTATTCATAATACCCCATAATGACTACGTGAAACCGTGTTTTTTTAGAAATGTTTACAAGTTGAAATTGAAATATAGAAATATCTAATCTACATAAGTATACACACCCCTGAATCAATACTTTGTAGAAGCACCTTGGGCAGCGATTACAGCTCTGAGTCTTTCTGGGTAAGTCTCTAAGAGCTTTCAACACCTGGATTGTGCAACATTTGCCCATTATTATTTTCAAAATTCTTCAAGCTCAAGTTGGTTGTTGATCATTGCTAGAGAACCATTTTCAGGTCTTGCCATAGATTTTCAAGTAGATTTAAGTCAAAACTGTAACTCGCCCACTCGGGAACATTCACTGTCTTCTTGGTAAGCAACTCCAGTGTAGATTTGGTCTTGTGTTTTAGGTTATTGTCCTGCTGAAAGGTGAATTCATCTCCCAGTGTCTGGTGTAAAGCAGACTGAACCAGGTTTTCCTCTAGGATTTTGCCTGTGCTTAGCTCCATCCCATTTATTTTTTATCCTGGAAAACTCCCCAGTCATTAACGATTACAAGCATACCCATAACATGATGCAGCCACCACTATGCTTGAAAATATGGTGAGTGGTACTCAGTAATCTGTTGTATTGGATTTCCCCCAAACATAACACTTTCTATTCAGGACAAAAAGTGAATTGCTTTGCCAAATGTTTTTACTTGTTGCAAACAGGATGCATGTTTTGGAATACTTTTATTCTGTACAGGCTTCCTTCTTTTCACTCTGTCAATTAGGTTAGGATTGTGGAGTAACTACAATGTTGTTGATCCATCCTCAGTTTTCTCCTATAAGAGCCATTCAACTCTGTGACTGTTTTAAAGTCACCATTAGCCTCCTTCCCAACTGAGTTAGGAAAGACGCCTGTATCTTTGTAGTGACTGGGTGTATTGACAAAGGACAACGACCTTAAGCCAAGACAACGCAGGAGTGGCTTCAGGACAAGTCTCTGAATGTCCTTGAGTGGCCCAGCCAGAGCCCAGACTTGAACCTGATCTAACATCTCTGGAGAGACCTGAAACTAGCTTCGCAGCTACGAGCTTGAGAGGATCTGCAGAGAAGAATGGGAGAAACTCCCCAAATACAGGTGTGCCAAGCTTGTAGCGTCATACCCAAGAAGACTTGAGGCTGTAATCGCTGCCAAAGGTGTTTCAACAAAGTACTGAGTAAAGAGTATGAATACTTATGTAAATGTGATATTTCAGTTTATAAAAATAAAAAAATGGTGCAAAATTTTCTAAAAACCTGTATGTGCTTTGTCAATATGGGGTATTGTGTGTAGATTGATGAGGGAAAAAACAATTGTAAAGTAACAAAATGTGGAAAATGTAAAGGGGTCTGAATACCTTCCGAATGCACTGTACATTACAACCACTGACAAAGCACATGCCTGCAACTGCAATCGTTACATCGTAGCTCAGCAGAAAATAGTGGTTTCATCACAGCAGCACATTCATAGATCGGTGTATAGCCATTAATCTAAAATAATTCATAGAATTAAAAAAAATATAAAAAAATCTGTTTCTCATCTCACAACATTAATATGAGATGAAAGGCGAGTTCCTAACGAGTTCAGGAAGCCAGGCTAGAGCTCTGTGTGATGTTCACAGCGATGGAGGCAGACGTTTAGATCACATTTTCAAATACGTATTTTACAGTTACAAGGACAGGGAAGTCTTAAATTTAGTCGTTTTATAATTTGATTGTGCCATATGTAGAAAGCATATCAGTCATTTCAAGCCTTATTCATACAGTTTTGTTGAATATGAAATACATCATATAAAATATTTTATATTTGTATCATATTTGTACCGCGTACTTGAGCTTGTGTCCTCAAAAATGACTACACCTCAGCAATGTATAACTATTTTTACCAGAAAAGTGAGATTTTAACCTTTCTGGGAGTATGCAGCATTACTAGTTATTGTTTAATTGTTTTGTTTATTGCCCTGTTATGATAAATAATAACTTTTGGGGATGACTTACATGACATTTTCGATTACTTTTAGTGGATGCTACAATAATTAAAGATAATCCTGAATGAATCATGAATAATGAATAATGACGAGTGAGAAAGTTACAGATGCACAAATATCATACCCCCAAGACATGCTAACCCTCCCTGTATTTGAATTGGTGGTATGATATTTATGCCTCAGTAACTTTCTCACTCATAATTATTCACGATTCATTCAGGATTATCCGTAATCATGGTAGCATCCACATTAATGTAGAAGTGTTTAGAAACATATTAGATTCTTATTTAAAGTAAAAGTGACTCCAAAATGACACAATACATTATTTATCATGAATTTCTATTGGGCACAAAATAATCTGAAACACAACCAAAACAAACTGCAAATGCATCAAATAAATGTGTAGAACTTGATGTAATCATTGCGTGCTAGGAATATGGCACCAAATACTAAAGGTTTGAATAAGTTAATACATATATAAGTGAACGTGTCCCAATACTTTTGGTCCCTTAAAATGGGGGGACTATGTACAAAAAGTGCTGTAATTTCTAAACGGTTCACCCGATATGGATAATTACCCTCGAATTAAAGCTGACAGTCTGCACTTTAACCTCATACTCCTTGTATCATTTAAAATCCAAAGTGATGGAGTACAGAGCCAAAACAACAACAAATGGGTCACTGCCCCAATACTTTTGGAGCTCACTGTATATACAGTATATATATGTATGTATGTATGTATGTATGTATGTATGTATGTATGTATGTATGTATGTATGTATGTATGTATGTATGTATGTATGTATGTGTGTATGTATGTATGAGTGAGGGGGGGTTAGAGTGAAAGAGTGGTAGGGAGTCATCTTATTGAAGCAAACAAAGAGATTGATGCTCCTCTGGCCATCAGTGCATATTTCTACACAATTTTGCATTACCTGGTTTATTGATGTATTTGGGTGCGTGATTGAATTGCATGCCTTTAAATATATTCCTAAATATATTTAATCAAAATGTTTACTTTCTACAACAAACATTTGTAACATTCATTGTAAATGCATTTCAAAGACGTATATACGCCATGGGCCCTTCAAATGGACCATTTCATACGAGCATTCCTTTCCTTCAACATTGTGCACAATAAATCCCTCCATCTCTCTCTCTCGTTCTTCAATAAATCCCTCCATCTCTCTCTCTCTCTCTTTCTTCCTCAGAGTAGGGAGGTAGGCTAATTTGGCCTAACCAAATTTCATAATTTGTTTAAAGAATTCTTTTAGCATGCAAATTCATGTTAATAGATGTTTCCTTCCTCTGGGTTTGAGAGACTGGCTGGTCCAAAGAGAGGAGGGGCGTAGAGGACGGACTCTTATAAGCCTTCAACTGCATATCGTTCCTCAAGCAATAAGCACGGTGATGCTAGCCTGCTGGTGTAAACAGCGGTACGCTGCATTAGGCTACTAGAAAATTAAACGTGTTGATGAAACGTTTAGGACGTTTGGTTCAATACTGAATTCTAAAGCAAAATTGGGATTCAGCAGCAAAGAAAAGGTTGGAGAAGTTAGCATTTACGGCGATTACAAGAAGAGGACGCATCGGATTCAGCAACTAACACAGGACTGTTTTTTATTTCAGTGTCAACTTCAGGATGTTATTAACTTCCTTCATCAGAGTGACTTCTTCTCTCCCAGCCTTCTAGAGTAAGGAAGGACGTATTGTTAATGTGAATGCCTGTCTCTACGGTAGAGAGAGACTAAGCCCAAGGAGGAAGAAACAGTAAAGCTTTTATTGCACTCCGTCTTTCCCGCGGACTGAACTGAACCATGCAGCGTCCCTTGGACTTGGGGGCTCACTATTATCCCCCGGAGGCTCACCCCGACCACCGCTCCCACTCACACCGCTACCGAAGCTTTATGATCGAAGAGATTCTCACCGACCACCCGGACCACAAGGTGTCTACCCCAGCAGGGGAGCTGCTCAAGTTCGGAGTACAAGCTCTGCTCTCGGCGCGGCCATACCACAACCACCTGGGTAAGCTGCGATGCTTTTGGTTTAGAGGGAGATGTAGCCCACTCAACTTTATATTCAAAATTACTCCAATGATTATATTGTATTTGCTATTAGTCTTTGTTAGTCTTCGCTTGACGACTGCTTTTGCTTTTCAACTCAAACTACTCGTTCTGTCAGTAGCCTAATTGTCCTAAATGGCGCGCGTAAAACATTGATTTGATGTATCTTTGCATATGATTTACATTCGTTTCCCTGGTATAATTTCTTATACAAAGTGCACAATCTAGGTTATTTTTTTGTGAATGTGTGTAGAATACTAGGCTATAGGGCAGGCCTACCAAGTGTTGCTTTGATGCTTCCCAAAATATGCAATCGACAAAGTAACTCAATATTCACCATACTTTTTTTTTTGAAAAACCAGATTACAATTCCATTGGACTTTTAACAAGGTTTCTATATTTTGTCATATAAACTGTAGTCTATCGAAATGTATAGACAAGTTTGACTCATTTGTGAATATTTCCACTCATCGAGCTAATGGTCACACTGGGTCACCAAACTTTAGAAAGGACGATGCGGGCCTGTTTCTGTTCTGGACCCAGGCGTGTGTCTACAGAGCATTGGGCTCATGTCTATGTCCAATTACCATAGTATTATCCTTTTGTTAAAGCTGTTTACATTGATTGGCCATACGATTTGTAAAACTAGGCCTTGTTTATCGAAGACCACTATGTTTTGCATGTCAGCAGTCATGGGCCATACGAATTTGGCTCAGGGAAATTGTGTTGGTGGGGGAGAAAACAGACATATTCAAACATTTCATGAAGTAAATGCATAATAGGTTTGCTTATCAATATTTCAACCAAGTTATTACATTTCTAAATTTCCTGACATTGACTGAATGTATCATTTAATTATTATTAATTACACTATAAAAACTATTATTATAAGCATGATAACAATAAAATAATTACAATTACATTTTACAATTAAATTATTATTATTTGTAGTAGGCCTAGGTTTAGTGTAATATACCTAATACAAATAACGATAATATATGTACTACTTCTACTATTATACTACTACTTAAATACTATCATAATAACAAATAAAATACGAATAGTTCTTATAATTATAGAATAAAATGTTACTGTATTTATTTTAACCTATATTTTGCACCAATTTGTAAGTCGCTCTGGATAAGAGCGTCTGCTAAATGACTTAAATGTAAATGTACATTTTACTAGAAAAATCTGTCATCGTCACGTAGAACCAATTAAGATAATAGCCAAGTGTGTAGCCTATAGGCGTTGTTAAGTTTACTATTTTCGTGTAGGAGTTCAATGGGGGATAATCCAATTTATACGTGAAATTGTTTGACTTACAGTTTTGAAGGCAGACCAATCGGGTATCCTTAAGTTCCCCATGTCGCCACTCTCCTGCTCACTGGGATCACCGTTAGGCTCCGCTCTCCTATCCGGGGCTCCGGGGCTCCACGGCGGCTCAGCCTCCCACCACCTCCCGTTGGACCTCCACCTCAGGAGCAAGCTGGAACACGGCGGAGACTGCAACAGCAAGACCAAGAAGGGCCGCCGGAGCAGGACGGTCTTCACTGAGTTACAGCTCATGGGCCTGGAGAAAAGATTTGAGAAACAGAAGTACCTTTCAACACCAGACAGGTATTTAAATCAATTGAACCGTTCAATTAACCTGATTTATCCCCAGGGGGCAATACTTGCTGTGCGTAACAGTGACTCGCAAATTAGTCAGACATACAACACAACACAATAACATAGGCCTACAATCAGTCATATATCCCCATAAGACTGATGACACGAATGCAAGATATTGACACGAATGCAATATATCTCTTAACATGCTAGATATGGACTCAACTGCTTTTTAATGCAAGATGTGATGTGATATTGGATTGAAATGAAAGGAAATATCTCTCATCTCCGCTTTGTCCCCGTGCAGAATAGATCTGGCTGAGTCTCTGGATCTGAGTCAACTACAAGTCAAGACCTGGTACCAGAACAGACGAATGAAATGGAAGAAAATAGTACGTTCTTATTTCTTATTCTGAACAATATTGACAAGGAGGCGAGTGGTTTTGATAAATAATGATATTAGTTTACTTGTCCATTAACTTGGTTTTATGGTAGGCCTAAACAGTTTAATTGTAGACTATTTAGTAGTTTTAAAACTTGAATTGTTCCAACTTTACAGGTCCTACAAGGAGGAGGATTGGAATCTCCAACCAAACCAAAAGGCCGCCCGAAGAAGAATTCCATCCCCTCGAGCGAGCAGCTTTCGGAGCAGGAGAGGTCTGGAGACGTCGACCGTCAGTCCGACGGTTCCACCTCGTCACATTCAGACACTAACCAAGAGGAATAATAATGTTGGTGCTCCGACTAACTAACAACTCTCTGAAGACGTTCACCAGACGTTCATACAGTCTCCGGGATGCGTAATGGTGGTCGACCGTTGGATCGAAGTACCTTTGCCCTTGACTTCGAATGTTTTGGCACTTACATACAGAGAGACTGATGTTGGCCTCCCGTAGAAGAGGCGGAACTCTATTTTTTATTACTAGTATCGTTCTTCAGACACTTCCTCCTTGGGACGAGGTTACTTTTCGTATGATATTGTCACGTCTTCTTTCGTAATCAATGTGTTCTCAATACCTATGCTCCCACCCGCGTCACGCCGAACTAACCGTTACGGAGCGGTAGTGGAGGGGAGGAAGGGACAGAGACGCACACATCGAGCAGTAGGTCCACTTTTTCATTGCCTCCATTCAAAGGACCCACTTTACACACACTTCTTCTGATCTGTTCTGCCTTTGTTTTGCATATTTACATGATTTATGAAGCTATGTTTTTATTATAAGGACATTGTTGGATGTAATTAAATATTTTTCCACTTACACTTAATCGTTCTTTTATTTTTTTTATAGAAAGGAAATTAGACCACATTTTATATTTCCTGCAGTCACATGAGAATGTTGATGTTGTTGGCAGCTGGGAGGTCATTTTACCCCCAAAGCATTTCCATTCACCTACACTTATGGTTTCGTATCTCTCGGCTTTATTCTGTTCCAGCGCTGTGATGTAAAATCGTTTACTTGTAACATTTTATCAGTGCTACAAGTTCTTGGTAGGTAGGCCTAACATTACGCACAATTCTGCATGATATGGAGCTCTGGCTTGAGTTGAACGAAAACGAAATGTAACGACCAAAACGAAATAGGAATGCTCAATAATATCACTTTTTGGTAGTAGGCTAACGCCACACAACATAGGCAGCTTCTCGGTTCTTCAATGTGAAGACTCATAACTGCTACTGTAGGCCTAAAGGCAAATACAATATTATAATAATTAGTGCTGCCACTCAAAATGCAAATGGTACTGTCATGTTGCAAATATTGCAAACATAATGATCTAATCACACGTATTTAATTAAGAAACAAATAACCATTCTGGTTAAATTACATCTCAACTAAATGCTGGCCTTTAGGCTCGGAGGCCATTGTAATTCACTTTCAACAATGGTGTCACCAACAAACTTTTAAATGGGAATAGTGCAGGTATGCGTGAAGAACGCTCTACAACATGTGTCGTTTTTGCCGAATAGTATCCTCTCTCTCATATTCCCAATTGGCCCGATTCAGACATAGGAAATGTATGCCTTTCCTACCTATTTCTCAGTAGTTGATATTCAAGACATACCTTATGAAGGTGTGTAATTGGCTTTGCAGGCGAGGTTTAGCTCAGTTGGTAGAGCATGGCGCTTGCAACGCCAGGGTTGTGGGTTCGCTTCCCACGGGGGGCCAGTATGGAAGAAAAATAAGTCGCTCTGGATAAGAGCGTCTGCTAAATGTGGTTCTCTTGCTCGCACTGAATACATTTATATTAAACCGCTGAAAACCCTGCCACTTGCTAGCCAATATATTTTCTTGTGGAGTTTTCATTCAATAAGGTTTTCAGTACATTTATCGAAATCCATCCCATTAAATTTGGTGTACCTTTAATTTGCTCTACAGACTCACTGTAATATATTGAGGGAACGGTTCAGAATATTAGGGATCAATGAAAGAAATCCATGCATATTCTTAATATAACTTAATATGCAATTTAGCAGATGCTTTTATCCAAAGCGACTTACAGTCATTTGCGCATACATTTTTACGTATGGGTGGTCCCGGGGATCGAACCCATTGTCGCCAGCGTTACAAGCGCCATGCTCTACCAGCTGAGCTACAGAGGACCAACCTGTATCTTCTTCTCCTTTTCAGCAGCAATTAGTAGATTAAAAAATACTCTGATCTTGTATATTATGGGGGGGGGGGGGGGGGGGGGGGGGGGGGGGGTTAGGAAAGTGTTTATGAATAATAATAAAAACTGGATTGGAGAGCCTTTATGCACGAAATATATTGGTGAATCAAAAATACCATGGTTTAATTCATCCTGAAAGTTGCCATATTTAATTGTTCAATCCATGAAATATTGGAAGGTGAGAAAAGTGTCCAATAGGGGTTGACCAGTAGTCCTAATCTCCCTAATAATCCCCACTAATCATGGAACTGTGATGCCAATGGTCCAGTCGTGGACCGTGCTCCAGGCTGTATGGTCTGCGTTCCATCATGATTCAAATTGGGTACATGTCCCAAATGATTGCACAGGTTGTAATACGTTAGCCTAATATGATCCACTATTGCATTATTGTCGCCAGCAATCAGAAGGTAAAATAGATCTAAAACATTTGTAATTTATATTTACAATCCCCTTCTCCAAACGGCTTCCTCATTTACCCAGCTCTTATCAAGAGCTCTTATCAATTTGTAAATTACAGTGCATGGGGAATGGTGTTATTTATATCAGAAAGAAAATAAAACAGATGCTTTTCCAACTTGGAACCCACAGGTTGCTCAACCTTATTCATCGTTTCTCCTCGCATTTAAATGTGATGGAATTATGAGGGAATTAAATCAAGGTCAGAATACGGTGTATCTGTAGAAACACCTCCGCCACACCTTCATTTATTTGATTCCCACCCCAAACGAATAGCGGGTGAATAGCATGCTATTCTCGTGCTTTATTCGTCAGAATATGCGTAGAGAGAAAAGTGCATAAAAGAGGAATTATGTTCTATTTATGCCCGCCTAACTAGGGTCGGAATTCCCCCCAATAAGAACAATCACCGATGTGCCGCAGCAGAGACCCAGTGTTCCGGGGCATGTTCCTGACCAGGTTGCTGACCATGCATCTACACAGTAAGTCTAGTGTCCTACTCCTATCGTCCATTGTAGCTAAGGTCAGTCCCGCATTTTGGCCCCTTGTCCGCGTCCCGCAACCAAATAATTATGTCCCGAATTTTATCAACAAATTCAAACGCCACTAATTTACAAAAAAATGTCGTTTTGTCTGGTATTTCAGTCAGACATTCCAACCTGTATCTTTTGCAGTAGAAGGAAGAGGCAAAGCTCGAGGTTTCAATCTCGCCTAAATCTGTCCAAAATAAGCCCAATGCGTTTCTATGGGCTTATTGGTGATCTAAACTTGTCGCCTGTCTTTATGCCTTTGGGACAACGACTCCCATAGTTAGGGCGGAGACATGAGCATCTCGTCATATGCAGATCTCTGTTTGCAGTCACCTTGGCCTTTTTGATAAGAGATATAAAGGATAATGTTGTGCTACTGTTGATGTTAAACACTTCTCCAATCATTGTTGAGATCTGATATTCTGTGCAGCGCAAGGCGAGGCTTACAGGCCAATGTAATATCCATCACGTGTGAAATCCTTTCGGTCTAAATTCCAGCTGAAGTTGGAGGACAGTTGAAGAGCTGATGAAGAGCTACAAAAGTAAATAAATAGTCATATTAGACAGAAAATATATAAGGTGATTTCGTCAACCTTGCGAGGCTCTCCATGCTCGTTAGTACCCATTCAACATATTTGCTGCTTCTTCACTCAATTCGGTTTTTAAAGTCTCCCCTTCCTAACTGTTTTACATTTCCCGAGACCAACCAGAAATGTTTCCTTGGCCAAGTATTTCCAGATTTTCATAAAACAGCCAGACATTTAGTATCTCGTTTCTGCACGACCACATTTTGCGCGAGGACAAGGAGTATAGGCGCGCTCCAATGATCTCCATCCGTGCAGCGGGAGGCGCTTCAATGATCCGGGAGGTTTTTCTTGTCCCAAATGTCCGGCTAAATCATCCCTTTGTCCCGCATTTGGGTATTTTAAATGTGGTCACCCTATTTTGTAGCCGTAACAATCTTTGACAAGAAAGGACTGTCTGATGCATTCGTTTTGTATAGCAGTATGGGATTAATACGCACAATTAAACCTAAACGTTTTGCAAATTTAACAACAACAGTGAAAATAAAGATTATTTAGGCTACTCTGTATCCACATACCAGACTGCAACAGGCGCTGAAAGATGATCAAACACGATGTAACAGGAGCATCAACTATTTAGCATCTAACAAATATCAATGTAGCATTTTTATGTTTTTAGTCGCAGTGAGATTATTGACATTTTCCTCCTTTCAAAGTGATATATATTTATAGGCCTGCAAACAGCATAACCTCAGCCTAGCTGCTGGTGACGCTCTTCAAATAAAGCAGTTAGGTTGAGCCACATCACAGGACGATGGCTTTTTTAAATGTTCCATTTCAAGTGTTTAGCAATAAAGTTGGTTGCGGGAGATCTTCAATTTTCATTAAACCCTCCAGTTCTGTGAGGGCGTGTTTACATTGCCTGGTAAATATGTGGTAACGCAAGAATATTTTCAGAGACTCGAAGTTATTTATTCTTAGAGAAATATTTACAGAAGTCTTCACATCAAAGGATTTGACTTAAATTAACTTCTGTTGATTTGAATATAGACTAAATTACTGTAGATTCCAAGGCAACGGACAGATTGGTTAAATAACCTTTGTCGACATTTCTTCATAATGGCCTTCTCCAGAATCACTGGGTTGAAAAACTCTCAATGATGTTTATTGTGTTACTTGAGGAGTATTGTTTTTACATCTTCCTATAACACGTCCTCTCTGTCTCCATTTACCTGGGTTTTGACTAAATGGAATACAGCTACGAACAGAAGTGACTTTTTCGTAGCAGGTTAGGAGATCTTACGCAGCAGGTTAGGATAATTAATGTAACAGGTTAGGATAATTAGGTTAAGGTTAGGAAAAGGGTAAGGGTTAGCTAGAATTCTACATTTCTCCTCAAAGCGTCTTGAACATGCAACTTTTTTACTGTATTCCATCTAGTCACAACCGTTTATGCCGCATTCACATGCTACTCAGAACTAGGAAACTCGGAAATGTTTGACTTGCTGATTCGTTGAACGAGGCACTTGTATAACTACAACCAATTAGCAAGTATGAAATCTCAGTGTTTCCTAGTTCCGACAAGCACGTGAACATGGCATAAACTGACGTGCCACGCACTTTTATGCACCGTGACGCAGTCTCTCAGTTGGCAGGTGTAATGGTGCTTTCAAGACAACTGAGAACTCGGAAAATGTGAAATCATGACTTCATGACATTAGTGATCTTCAGGTCGGAAAGTCGGAGCTTAGGAAAGATGTCCGAGTTGGATGACCGTTCAAAACGAGTTTCCCAGTTGGAGCTTGTTTTTTTCAAAGTTTCCAATTGTTTTTAACCAGACATAGACAGACAGACAGACAGACAGACAGACAGACAGACAGACAGACAGACAGACAGACAGACAGACAGACAGACAGAGAACTGAAGCTCACCTATCAGTCATTTTACAGAAACTTCAGAAGAGTAGACCCTCCAATCACAGAGATGCGATCCTGGCCCGTTTTCTACACTTGCAGGCAGCAGATTCATGCTGCATTCAAAACAACT